TGACGCGAGCCGGCGCGAGCGGGGAGGTGGGGTTAGTGGTCGCTCCAGGTGGGGGACTTGGTGGTTGTCCGACCGCGTTAGTGGGGTGCGGTGCCATCTACACTCTAAGATGCCACTTTTTCTCGGGCGCGCACCCCGCCCTGAATCCCACTCTGCGTTTCTCATCTCCGCCCCGATTATTTGGGGGGCTTCCGTGGGGTCTGTTATAGCCTTCTCTCCCGAACCTAATATTCACTCCTTCCAACCCTCCCTCCCGCCCCGCCCTCCCCTCCAGTCCAGGATGAGGCCCTGGGTTTCAGCCTCCTCTCTGGCAGCTTCATAGCCTGGTGGTTAAGGTCGCTGACTTTGGAATCAGACAGCTCTGGGCTGGAATCCTACCTCAGCCCTTCACTCGCCACGTGATTCTGTGCACAAGCCACCCAGCCTTTCTGGGCCAGGTGTACTCATCCATCAGAGGAGGATGGCAGTAACAGTGTCTATCCTTTAGGTTGTTAGAGGATTAATTGAGGCAGTTGTGTGCGAAGCACCTGGTATATAGTGAACATTCAATAAGTAGTAGCTGTGATAATATTTGTGAAATGTAAGGACAAATCCAAATTAAAAGTAGGGAAAATAAAACTTAATTCTCCCTGTGGCAAAAAAGAGAAAAGAATACTTGTTAACTGTGAATTCTTTCTGCCCTTTTGAAATGTGTGTACATTTTTTTAAAAAGTTAAGTAAGCCTCTTGCCAGTTTTACAACCCAGGAATGCCTTTCTCTAGGACAGTGGTTCTCAACCTTCTGGCCCTTTAAATACAGTTCCTCATGTTGTGACCCAACCATAAAATTATTTTCATTGCTACTTCATTACTGTAATGTTGCTACTGTTATGAATCGTAATGTAAATATCTGATATGCAGGATGGTCTTAGGCGACCCCTGTGAAAGGGTCATTCGACCGCCAAAGGGGTCGAGACCCACAGGTTGAGAACCGCTGCTCTAGGACCTCGGAGCCATCTCATTGAAATGCAGTCATTAAGGAAGATCGTGCTCCTATCTCCCTCCCAGTTTCTGTGGGAGGCAGGCTAGGAGCCTAACTTCAGCTGGTGCCTAGCTCCAAGTTGCAAACGTATGTCCTCTCATAAAGATACTAGAGGCCCGGTGCACAAGATTTGTACACTTGGGGGGTTTGGTCCCTCAGCCCGGCCTGTGCCCTTTCGCAGTCAGGTACCCCTCGGGGGATGTCCACCTGCCAGCTTAGGCCCGATCCCCAGCACTCAGACATTCCTCTCGCAATCCAGTGCTCTCACAGTTTGGGACCCCTTGCTCCTTACCGCCTGCCTGCAGCGGAGGCAGGAGAGGCTCCTGCCACCGCCTCTGTGCTCACCAGTGGTGAGCTTGGCTTCTAGCTGAGCAGCACTCCCCCTGTGGGAGCGCACTGACCACCAGGGGGCAGCTCCTGTGTTGAGTGTCTGCCCCCTGGTGGTCAGTATGCGTCATAGCGACCGGTCGTTCCACCATTTGGTCGATTTGCATGTTATGCTTTTATTATATTGGATGAGAAATTTATTTTTCTTTTGGATAAATGCAGTTAGCAAATACAGGTGACTACCCCATTTATCAGGTGACTTTAGAATGACCCCTGTGTGACAAATGATGCTGTCAGGTCCTCTTGCTTAAGAACTAGTTATTGTTTATCTTGAAAAAATATATGTATTAAGTCAGATCCACTTGGCTATATAAAAGAGTACAATTTCTTTTTAAATGTATTTTTTTTATTGATTTCAGAGAGGAAGGGAGAGGGAGAGAAAGATAGAAACATCAATGATGAAGAGAGTCATTGATCGGCTGACTCCTGCCTGCCCCACACTGGGAATGTGCCCTGACTGGGAATCAACTGTGACCTCCTGGCACAGAGGTCAACGCTCACACACTGAGCAACACCAGCTGGGCAAGAGTATGATTTCTTCTTGTCTTTGCAAGCCCTTTAGCTAATTGCCTGTGGTGTACATCACATTCTGGTTTAATGCTCATTCAGTAATAAAACTGGTTTCTTCATTTTTGCCTTTGTAGAGAAATTTTTCTGGGTTGGTGGGAGATTTTGTTTTGAATTATATTTCCCCAACAGAAGTTACTTTTTTCTGAGGTCTGTATCCCTATGTTGCACTCTGTGACTCCCTCCAGGTAACCCTGGCCACTATGTCCTAGTGGTCAGTTTTCGACTCTCCACTAAAATGGAGCTCTCTGAGAATGGACTACTAAGCCAAGGCATTCTTGAGTCCCTGCTGCCAGTAGGGTTCTGGTTGAATGAATGAAGGAAAAAATCAACCAACCAACAATTCTGAGAGGTATAGACCCCTGCCCCCAACTGCCAGGGCCCTGAAAAGGAAAAGAACAGAGACTCAGGCACACAGAAGAGTTTCTTAAAATAAAACCAAGTCAAACAGAACCATAGACCAGTTTAAGAGACGGAAATGATAGGAAATAAGCACAGAAGGCACTGTAGTGGACAGGCTGGGGGAAGCCGTTCCTGACCTTTGCGGTGGGAGGCCCAGCCCATGGGTACTGGGCACATGGGGAGGGGTGCTGGGGGCCTCAGACAGCGGGAAACCGGGAGCCTTCCTGCCTTTCCTGGGGCAGGGTGGTTTTTTAGTGACGGGCCTTCTGACCCTCGCCTCCTCTCTGATGGCCCCAGCCTTTCAAGAGGCAGACCCAGCGGGGGCATCCCAGGAAGCCCTAGAAGCCCCCCAGCCCTTCTACCCCATGGACCTGGAGCCCCTGCAGGAGGGGGAAGTCAAGCAGTGGCCCAAAGACGCAGTCATCCTCCTGGTTGGGGACTAGAGGCTCTGGGGTCCTTTGTGGGCTGGTCTGGAACCAGAGGTTCTCATAGGACTTGGGGCTCGGGGTGAGGCCCCCCAAGAGGGGCTGAGTGGAGTCGCAGCGGATGTAGTCCGCTGGTCCTGAGCGGGAGGGGCTGCCCATCACTTGCCCGTAAAGGACCTGGTCACTGTTGCCTGACTGGGACTGGGGCTGGATAGTAGATGCCCTTGGGTCCCCCTGGAGCACATAGGCCTGGACCAGGGCGGGAAGGCCACAGGTTCCTGAGCTCTCATGGGACTCCCAGGGCCCAGGCTTCTTCTCTTCCTCCTCCAGCACCGTGATCTTGGTGATGGGTGGCATGCTGGTGTCCCAAAGGCTGGGCAGCTGGAAGATCTCCTGGACACAGGGACATGGGGTGAGGGCACGATTCATTTCAGATGTCTGCCCCAGCCGCTGTCCCTGCCTGAGCTGGGTCAGTGTGGGGACCTTTCTGCGGCTGTCTGTTGAAACTCAAAGATTTGCACCTGCGAAGCTCCTCATATGTTCGTGTTATGTGCTATGTGCTGTTCAGACTCATCTTGGTGAATCTCTCCAACAGTTCTGTGTGGGAATGATTAGTCTCATTTCACAGGGGGATGTCTGAGGTTTTGAAATGGGTAGAGCTGGGATAAACTGGGTAAACTCAGGTCTGCTTTACTCCAAAGGGAGTGCATCTTGCTAGGAAGTGAAGGGAAGGCCTGAGTACTCATCCTCAGAGGGGCAGCTCTTCACTTTGAACCTGGGCCCACACCCCCAGTCCCGTTTCCCTCCTCCTCCAGGCTTCTCACCTCCGCAGGGATGCTAGGCACCCAGGAGCCCAGGCTGCTGTGGGCTGGGTCTGGGACACTTGGCCAAAGGGAATTCTTCCTGCTGGAGAAGGGGGCAGGTAAAGGTAGGGCCAGGCATGCCCTCCCATCTTTCCAGCCTGTCTCCCACCCATCCCCCCGCAGCTGAAGGCATGGCTGCTTAGTGCAGAGAGAAGGTGGAGGGCCTGACTCCCAGACACGGGCCCTGAGGCCTGAGAAGGCTGGGGTGGGCCTGCAGTTCCTTGTGGGGAGGGGTATCTGGGTGTCAGATCTCTGGATTCACCTGGGTCTGCAGCAGAACCGGGTAGCTGCACAGAGGCAGATAATCGAGAGCAGGAGGCCGAATAGGCCCAGGAAGATGTGCAGCTCGAACTCCCCTGGGGTGAGGGAAAAGCCAGGAGAGATTAGAGTGCGTGCGAGTAAGGCTGGTCCTCCTCTCTCTGACTAGGATCCAAGGGCAGGGCTAGGTCTCTTCCCTCAGACCTGGAGGAGATCCAGGCCAGCCTTGTCTACTCTAAAAATGGAGATCTTTTGTCTGAGGCACCTCCCAACAGCCTTGTCTGGCCAGCCCCTTCCTCCTCTTACCTGGGGCTAAGGTCATCAGGGTGAGGCTTGTACTGTTGGTGGCCCCCACCTGGCTGGCAGCCATGAGGTGGACGTGGTACAAGCTGGCAGGCTCCAGGCCGGGGAGGACAAACTCATGGGAGGAAGCATTCAGGATGGTGGCTGGGAATAGAGGAGAATGGTCGGCTGGGCCCCGAAGCCGAGGCTCCCTCCAAGGCTGCTCCCTCCCGGGCATCCTGGGGCTGAGGATAGACTCACAGAAGGACTGGCCCTGAGCATTGGTCCAGAAGATGGTGTAGTGGGTAAGAGGGCTCCTCCCCAGCTCGAGGGTTGGGGGCACCCACTCCAGCTGGGCCCAGGTCTTGCCAATGTGCTTCAGATGCAGCTCTGGGGTGTAGGAGGGGGCTGCCGGAAGAGAGAGGTGCAGGTTGACAGGGGCAGGGTGGAGAGCCCGGCTGGACTTCTCGTGGCTCCTCAGACCCAAGAACTGGGACACACTGAGAGGTGGGTGACATCAGAGAGTCCGAGGGGATGCCCATCCCAGCTTCAGTGTCTCAGGAACTTGGACCGAATCCCATCTACTTCTAATAAGTGGCCCAGTCAGGATCTGCACCTGGTTCTCTCTGACTCCAAAGCCTCACTCCCTGATTCCTCCCAGGCCTGAATTTGGCCTATTCACTATTCGATTTCTGCCCCTCACTCTCTGAATCTATGCCAGGCCCTCTCTCTATTTCTATCACACGTGACACCTTATTTCTGTCAGGACAATGGGCTGAGTTTTGCCAGACTTGCTCCCTGCATTCCGCCAAACCCACTGCCTAATTTCTATCACCCCACCACCTGACTTCTTTGTAGCCACAGGGGTCCAGTGTAAGCCAGGGGTGATCTTAGGACTGGGGGGGACCCCTCCTTGGGCCAGAGGTTGGGGAAGAAGGAAATGCTTCCTCCTAGTGCTGGTGGGTGGGGCCTAGGCAGGCCTTGAGATCGAGGAGATTCTGAGGAGGGGCCTGGTGGCTGACGAACCCGTCTCTTGGGAGTAGGCGTAGATGCGCTGGGAGGGTCCCACGGTGTCTTGGTACAGGGCGGTCACAGTGATCTCGTAGAGCTGGAAGGGCCTGATGTTCTCTGTGGAGAGAAAATGGGGAGGCACCCTGGTTAGGGGCAACCTCTGCCGATGATCAGGAGCTCACCTCAGACCTCTAGTCGGGGCTAACCTTGTCCTAGCCCAGGGGTGGGCAAACTTTTTGACTCGAGGGCCACAATGGGTTCTTAAACTGGACCGGAGGGCCGGAACAAAAGCATGGATGGAGTGTTTGTGTGAACTAATATAAATTCAAAGTAAACATCATTACATAAAAGGGTACGGTCTTTTTTTTTTTTTTAGTTTTATTCATTTCAAACGGGCCGGATCCGGCCTGCAGGCCGTAGTTTGCCCACGGCTGTCCTAGCCTCTTCCTCAGATCATTTGGTCGGGGTAAGGGGAAACAAGTGGAAGAGAGAGAGAGCTAGAAAGATGGCAGAGTCAGAGCTGTAGCAAGAGAGGATCCAGTTAGACTGTAAGAGGAACTTCCTGATTCTGCGGATATGAGGTGAGACCAGCCCTGCCCACCTGCCAGCCCCCCAGGCCTGCCTCACCTTGTAGCAGGGTCCCTGCAATGCTTCCATTATGCTCCATTTTCCAAGTCATATGGCTGCCGCTGGGGCTGGGGGGACCCGGGCCCCATTCAATCACATAGCCCCGAGGCCGAGGGCTGGGGGGTTCCCAGCCCACCCAGAGGCTGTGAGGGTCTCGGGCCATGGTATGGAGTCTGCCCAGCGGTGGGCCTGGAGACAGAGTAGGAGAAGATGGGGTGAAGGTGAAAAGAATGCAGGCCCTAGAGCCAGAAGCCTGGGTCCACATCCTGGCTTTGCTCCTTACAAGTCAGTATCTGAGCCTCAGTTTCCTCATCTGTGAGATGGAAATGATGATAAAAGTTCTTCCCTTATAGAGTCTACAAAAGCTAACACTGTGGAGTTCTTGGTATGTGCCAGGTAGAGTCCTGGGTGTCTGCTAACAGTCCCATGACAGGGACACTACTACTGTCCCCGTTTTATCAATGAGAAAACAGACACAGACAGGTTAAGTAACACCTGAGGTATGCAGCCAGACAGTGGGAATATTAGCTATTGTTATTGTTAGTCACACCTTGTGAGGACCCATGTTCAGAGGAACCTGGGGGTGGTGGTGGCTGGTCCCTGGAGAATGACCAATCAATTCAGGGACCATGTTCCAGTTGGAAAAACGTAGGGCTTTCTCTACCATCTTCCTTGGCAGAATGGACTGTGTGTGTGTGTGTGTGTGTGTGTGTGTGTGTGTGTGTAGGCACCACCATAGCTTAACCTGGTTCTGGCTCATGATAATAATAGCTAACACATACTGAACAGTTACTATGTGCCAGGCACATGTCTTAACTTGTAATCTCCACAACAACCCTTTGAGGTAGGTGCTGTATCACCCCCAGTTGCTAGATGAGTAAACAGAGGCCAGGGAGGTTAAGTAACTTGCCCAGGCCACATGTTAGCAAGTGACAGGACTAGGTTTGAACCCAGGCAGTCGAGCCTTCAAATGTACATGCTTAACCACCATGCTCTACTAGCTGCCAGCCCCCTTACCTGTGCTCTCCAAGAAGACCACGGGGGTGGGGTGGGAGGTCCCGGCGGTGTTGTAGGCCACAAGGACCACCTCCCGGACTTCCGAAGGCAAGTGGAAGGTGCAGTTTAGCTCGGTGGTGTTGCAGAGGGGTGGGGCTGCTCCAGCCTGGCCCGAGGGTCTCCAGGAGACCAGGTACCCTTGGATCTGCCCGCTGTCTTCCTCCACGGGCATTGGCTGTGGTGGGCAGAGGAGGAAAAAGATAGGGGGATGCACATCTCATCTGAGTGGGGGAGAGCTTCTTGATGGGGTGGATGGACCGCAGGAGCTGAGCCCCCCCAGGAAGGCCAGCCTTCCTCCCTTCCTCCCTGCTTCCCTCTGTTGCCCTGTGCCAAGTCCTAGGAGGGAGAGAAGGAAGGAGCAAGTTGGTGTGTGCAGCAGGCACTTAACTATCCACTGAGCCAACCCTTTGCCATCGGTGAGTCCTGCCTTAGTATGTGCCAGATAGATCCTTCGGTGTCTGCTAACAGAGACTTCTTCAGAAGTCTCCAAGGCACATGTAAAGTGCATGCAAATCACACACAAATGCATCCAAGCCACTCAGAGCTGGTGGAGTCCTGAGCCCCAGCTCACAGGGGTCTGTGTGGGTTGAAGGAAGCTTCAGGGGTGGTCACCTTCCAGAATAGCTGCATGTCCAGTGTCCTGCGGTCCAGCTGCCTCTGCCGCCACCACGTGTCCAGTCTGACATTGGGGGCTGTGGATGGAGTGAGAGGAGGGGGTGCTGGTCAGGGAGGGCTTTCGAGGTGGGACTGGGTACTGATGGCCGATCCCAGCCCCTCACCACCCGCTTACCCTGTTGCGTGCTGGTCAGCTCCAGGCTGGGGCTCCAGTCGCTCCAGTGGCCAGGCAGGGGCCAGCGGGTGCAGCGCATCTGCAGGGTGTAGGCTGTGGATGGGAGGAGCCCGCAGAGCTCATGCTGAAGGGTCTTGGAGGGCAGGGGGCCCACCTGGGGGAGGAGGGCGTGGCTCTGAGCCTGGATTCCTGTGCCCTTCAGGGCCAGCTCAACGTACCCTCCCCTCAGCCACCCCCACCCCAGGCTCTTGAGGTTGCCCTCCACCTCACCAGGGTCCAGCTGGCTCCTCCACGCTGTGGCTGGTGGCGCAGCTCACACTTCTGGTCTATGTACTGGGTTGGCTTCCACGACTCCCAGTGCAACTGTAGGCAGCCTGGCTGGGGTGGGGCCACCTCAGGGCTGGGGTCCAGGGCCCACAGGGTGGGGGGCTCCAGTTTTACTGCAGGGAGAGGGGTTGTCAGACCCTTTCCCTCCCCCATCTGTTAGGCCCTGCCTTAGCTCCCTCTTCTCCCTGTCTGTGGTTCCATTTTTCTCCCTGGGTCTCCATCCGTGGGGTCTTGTGTCTTTCTTTCTTGCTCTTTCTCTTCATCTCTGTGTTATCGTGTTTCTGCGGGTCTGTCTCTGTGTATGTGTCTGTTTCTCTCTGGGTCTGTTTCATACTCTCACCCCAGGGTGCACTGTTTGTTCCCTGGAACACTGTCCCTCCACAGACCCAGTGTCTTGCTCCTTCATTTCCTTCAAGGATCTTTTCAGATGTCACCTTCTCAGTGAGGCCTCCCTGACCACCTTACTGAAATAGCAGCTGCTCCCCACCCCCAGCCCTCACACCCTTCCCCGCTTCAATGTCCCCAACGCACTGATCACCAGCTGACAGCCTATTTTTTTTTTCCACTAGAAGGTAACGTTCCAGGGCAGGGTTTTTGCTCTTTTGTTCACTGCTGCATTCCTAGCACCTAGTACAGTGCCTGGCACCCAGTGGGCACGTCAAGAAACCTGCCCAAGGAATGAATGTGTCTCCTTGTGTCTGTGTTTCTTCCACGTCTCTGTGTCTCCATAGCTCTGTTTCCAACTGCATCCCCCTTGGTCTCCGTCTCTCTTTTCTTCCTCCATCCCTAGGTCTTCCAGTGTCTGTCTGTCTGTCTCTGGGTCTGTGTTTCCCTCTCTGTGCCTCCCTGGGTCTACCCTTTGTGGGAGCCTCTTCCCTCCCCCGTACCCAGGGCATCACCCACCAACGTCCATGGGATCCAGACACAGCTGCGGGGAGACGCTGGTCCCCAGCACGTTCTCTGCCTGCACCCAGAGGCCCATACTCTGGTAGAGCCGCAGGTGTTTGCGTGGGATGGAGCAGCGGCTCTGCCCGTCCTCAGGCACGCAGTCGGGGATGGCTTCCTCCTGGTCCTGGCAGTTGCCCCGGCTCCTGCCAATAGGTCAGGCTTGGGTGTCAAGCAGAGGAAGAAAGCAAGGCTCCCTTCTCCCTCCCATCTTTGCCTCTGTCTCCCCCATCTCCACAGTCCTACCTATGCCCCCCCCCCCCCCCCCCCCCCCAGGATGGCGCTGGAATAGAGACCCTACTCACTTGAAGCTCTTTAGGGTGAAGTTGGTAGACAGGTGGGTGTCAGGTCCTGGCTCCCACTGGCAGATGAGGCTCTTGATGGTGAGGTTCATGAGGCAGGACAGGTTGTGGGGTGTGGCGGGAGGGTCTGTGCACAGGGTGGGGAGAGTGAGGGCTTTGGGTAGGACACTCAGAAAGCTCCCACTGGGACCAACCGGCTTGCTTCCTGCTCTGGGTCATTCCCTCTGGGGCCACTTTGTTTATTCTCCATGCAGCCCGGGGGACACCGAGTTGCAGGCACGCACAGGGACAGGCTTCACAGAGCCTCAAACCCCCTCAACTCCACCCCCTTCAACAGTGACAGGTAGTGTCTGGGTTTCACTCTGGTTCTGCCACTCATTAGCTGTGTGATTTTGAAGTCACTTAAGGGCTCTGTTTCCTCATCTGTAAAATGGGGGTAATGGTAATGTACCTGTCCCCTAGGTCCATGGTCGGCAAACTGCGGCTTGCGAGCCATATGCGGCTCTTTGGCCCCTTGAGTGTGGCTCTTCCACAAAATACCACGTGCAGGCGCACACGTACAGTGCGATTGAAACTTGGGGGCCCATGCGCAGAAGTCGGTATTTTTTGGAAGAGCCGGTATTTTGTGAAGGTGAAATGACTTTCTATGTAAAGTGCTCAGAGCACTATTGTTGATTCTTACACAAGAACCTTGGTCTGTCTTTGTTTTTTCTTATGCATCGGCTTGGCACACACTCCATTCTTTGCCGCTTGTGCAGAAGCCTGAGACTGGGGAGTTGGGCTTACTCGGCGGCCATATAGAGTAGCAGTTACTACACTGGTTCTCAGGCCACGCTGCCTGGTATAAATCTTCGCTCCATCCTTATTAGTTTGGGACCTTCATTCAGCACGTTACTTACTCTCTCTGAACCTCAGTTTTCTCATCTGTAAAATGGGGCCAAACAGCACTATCCACTGGTAGGGAAGATGACCTAATATCGAGCCCATAAAGTGCTATTGAGCAAGAGCTCCAGGAAGAGGAGTTCTTATTAGTATCTCAGGGGGGCATTGGAGGCAGAGCAGGAGACTTACAGCCTGCCTGCAGCTCAACCTGGTCCAGGATCTGCAGGCTGTTGCCCCAGCGCAGACAGCAGGAGAGAAGGGCCCGAGAGTCGTTGAGGTGGGGCAAGGTGATGGTGGATTCCTGGGTCCCATCTGGCAAGCGCTGCTGCCTCCCCCCGGGCTGAAGCTCTGTCCCCAGTTTCCACACAATCTGTGACTCTGGATCCAGGTGGCTGCAGGTCCTGTTGATGATGCAGGAGGCCGTGATGGCATCTCCCAGGTGGACGATGGGGGCTGAGACGCTGATGCGCCCGCACTCCTCCAGGCCTGGGATGGGGGAGGAGAATGGGTCACGAGTGACTCCTCTGCCTGCAGAGCCAGGCTATATGCTCAGCCTTCGTACTCTTAGACTCAGGGCCTCCCCCCTCCCAAGATGTGGGAGCTGGAGTGGGGTGCCGCGTTTGGGACTGTGAGAGGCTCTTGGGGAGGAGACAGAGACAGTGATATGTGCATAAAAGTTTATCAACCGGCTGTGCAGAGAAAAACCCATCCTGATCTGTAATACGGGCTGCTTTCCCTGGTGGAATATTCCCTCCGTGGCTGACTGCAAGCTACCAGTGTGACATCCCTGAAATCCCTGAAGGGGAACTTGGGGAGAGCTGTGCACAGTTAGCTCCCGCAGGCCTGCTGCGGCTCACCACCCGCCCCCAGGGTGGCGAAAGAAAGCAGTGATTAGAATGATAAGAGCCCCGCAGCCACAGCCGTCTTTTCAGAATGCAGATCTGATGGTTTCCGCACCTCGATCTCAGCACTGCAGTGACACGTTTTTGCTCCGAAAGGCAGTGTGGTTGACAGGTAGAAGCAAGGCTGTTGCAACTAGACTGCCTGGGTTTAGGGCCTGATCCTACTGCTTATTCATTATGTGACCCTGGTATGGAAGCATTAGGTGTGATCACATGTGTAAGGCACGTAGAACAGTGAGTGTTTGCTGCCAGGATAAAGACCCAGAGCCACTTGCAGCCCGTGTGGCCTGGCTCCTGCCTAATCCTCCCACTTCCAGCTCAGACCTCCCTCTCTCAGCTCCATCATCCTGGCTTCTTGCAATTCCTTGAAAATGCCAGGCTCTCTCCAATCTCGGGATCTTTGCACCTGCTGTTGCTTTTTGAGGGGCTCCTTTCCTCCCACCTCTCTTTTGCCTGGTTAACATTTAGGTATCTTGGACGTAACCAGACCAGGCCAAGCCCCCTGAACTTTCCCAAAGCTCTTATTATCCTTCATACTTATAGCCAGGTGATTATTTGCTTGTCTGTCTCCCCAGCTAGACCAGAGGTTCCGTGAGGCCAGAGACCTTGCTGTTTTGCTCACTGCTGTATTCCCAGCACCTAGCAGAGTAGCCCACGGGGAACATGTATTGAATAAAGTGTTGTACTTTTCCCGCCATACCCTCTCTCCTCTCTCAGGTGTCCTTCGGCCCATTTTCCTGATGGGGATGTTGAGGCCCTAAGAGCAGGAACAATTGTCCAGGGTCACAGAGCAAATCTGTGGGACTCCTAGCACTTTACAGACTCAGAATTTCAGACTGGAAGGAGCCTTGCAAAACTGTTTACTTCAAGGCAACACCTGATGCTACGTCTTCTACAGCAGGGCCAGGGTCCCCTGTTTGGGTATGGCCTGCCAGCTAAGAAGGGTTTTTACATTTTTAAAGGGTTAAAAACAAACAAAACCAAAACCAAATAAGAACATGTAACAGACACTGCCAGTGGCCTGCAAAGCCTGAATGTTACTGTGGGATGAAGTTTGCCAAGCCCTGCTGTGCCGCATCCCTGTCAATCCTGGCCTCAACTTGGATGCCCCCAGAGATGGGAGGGTCTTCACCTCTCAAGGCAGAGTTTCCGTAGTAGGAGGGCTCTGCCTGGGCTTCCTTATTTCAGGAGGAAACCTACCTGATCCCTTTGTTGCCCGTGAAGACTGCACAGAAGCCAGAGGTTCCTCTGACAGCCTGGCAGAGATTAGCAGAAAGATCTGCCACCCCGACCCCCAGCCTTTTCCAGGCTGACCAGCTCAGGTCCCCTCACCGTTCCTCCTGGGTGGCGGCTTGCAGAAGTCCGTGATGGGAGCCCAGCTACCCCACCCCTGTGGCCCAGTCTCATTCTCTGGGGATTCTCTAGGATCCCCAGGGGCCGCGTGGCAGCGCAGGAACATGCTTCTCTCCTCCAACCCTGAAATCTTTCCCTGTAGCTCCCCTCTCACCACAGCACCCACCCCGGCCGCACTCACTTCTGGGGAGCAGTAGGATGATCAGAGCAGCTCTGGCCAGGCTCCAGGTTCCCAGCCCCACCACCATCGTGCCAACTTGCTGTTCACCTGGAAGCAGAGGGGCACAGTTAAGGCCTTGGACTTCGGAGTCAGAGCAGAGCTTAACGCTTTTCTGCCGCAGTGTGGCTTTGGCCAGGTTACTTGACCTCTGTGTGCCTCAGTTTCTCTGTCTGTAAAATGGAGGTAACAGCCTACACTACTCCACAGGGCACATGGGAAATGACTGTAAGTGACAGGCACTGTTATTATTGTCCTGCCTTCCAGAGTGAGCAGGGAAGGGAGCAGAAAGGAACAGCATTCCCCCTGCCCTTCTTTCTTAGCTGGGCTTCCCCCTCCCCCCACAAAGAGGAGCCTGCGATGAGGCTCGCATGCAGGCAGTTTATTTTAGGAAGATCCCAGGAACAGAGCAAGGGAGTAGGGAGAATGAAACAGGTAAGAAAGGAAAGCCAACACAAGGACATGTCACCTCTGTGGACAACCAGGACTCAATCCTGCTGGAACTTTCCAAGGAGCCGTGTACATGCCTCAGAACTGTCCACCCAAGGGACAGTTTACCCTTTGAACGGGAGGGAGGATGGAAACACTTATGCACCGACTCCTGTCCCCATTGGTCAAGGGATGTCCCTTGGGGTATTAACTGCCTGGCACATCCAGGTTGCACATGCATGAGTGTGAGGCAGGTTCTGCTGGGTGAGTCATGACAGAAGTGTCAGAGATGTTCCCCGGGCGACAGTGCCTGGGTGGAGGGAGCATTAGTTCCCCTCTCAGGAAGGATGCCGGGGTGGGCTTCCAGCCTAACCCTCCACTTGGTCCCGTTGGGGTCTGGGGGCCAGACACCTGACCCTCCAGCACTAACTGACACTTGGTGGCAGGTCAGTGGGAATCGCTGACCAGCCAGCATGTACATTCATAAAAACATAGGTGGTGCCCCAGCAGATCCTCTGTGCTCGGGGGGGCGGGGGGGGGAGAGCTTCTCTCCCTCCCACACAGAGGTGTGACTAACAACTGCCCAGATACCCAAGGCTCTTTCCGCTTGTAGGGGCCTTAAGACCCCCAGGCTCCCCACATAGTCACAGTATCAGGATACCAGGTGGCTAGCCCATAAGTTACTTTATTTTCCCCCCTCTAATCTGGACACAGCCCGCACTAGGACCTGGTAACTGAAGAACAAGCTGGATTTCAGCCTCCGCCTGCCCCTCAGCCCTGTAGCGTTGTGTACAGCTGTTCAGAGCGCCCCACTCGGTGGTTGGCAACCTTCTTCCTAGAGCACATTGGTTTGATTACCCCCTTCCCCCCCACACACTTGTTGGGGGAAGATTTATCCTCTTTGGCCCAGGTTTTGGGACACCGGTGTCCATCTCCATGTGCTACCCAGCCCTGCTGCCCTAGCAGGGGCAGCTTCAGGCCCCACCTGTGCCCGGTGAGGGACCACTTCATCACTGGCTCATGCTCAGAGTGGGCAACCAACCCCCAAACCCCAAGAGGCCAGTCATCCTCCCCGCTGGGCTGCTGGGTACTGGGACCCTGGCATCGGTCCCTGGTCCCCCACGGCAGCCCGGGTGCCTCCCAGCCCCCGTGAGTGAGAACTGGGGTCTGTGGGAACATGGGCTCCTCTCTTGGGGTCAGTGTGCAGAGAGCTTGGGAGCCCAGCTGTGAGTAGACCAGCTGGTCTGAACCACAGCTCGGCCACTTACCAGCCTGGTGACCTTGGACAAGTTACTTTCTGAGCGTCAGTTTCCCCATCTGTGAAGGAGGGATCAGAACAGCATCCTCCTCTCAGGGTTGTGGTGAGGATGAAACAAGATGACCCTGATAAAAACACTTGGCACGGAGCCGGAGCCGCCAGGAGAAAGAACTCAATCACCAAGTTATTTTCACCCCCTCACGGAACACAGGAGGGCTCAGCGCCTCTCCCGCCTGCAGGCTGCGTGGTCACCGCCGCCTGGGACGGCCACCTTGCTTTGTCTGTGTCATGCTGCATGGCTTCAAGGCCTCCTTTCTGGATCCCCTACTTCCAGCTCCCTGGCCCCCCAAGTCTCCCTTTCGCTCCAGCCATCTCCGCTGGGCACTTTTGGCTCTTTCTGGGTCCCAGCACACCCGCTGCCCCCCCGGAGCCCTGCATCACACCCCCTCTTTCCGCTTCCCTCTCCCCTCCCTCCACTCCACCTTCTCCAGTTCCCGCCCCTCTCCCCTGTTCTTTCTACTCTAGTTCACCTGGAGGTGTTTCTATGGCAGGAGGATGAGAGGGAGGAGGGCGCTGGGAACGAACAGAGGGAGAGGCCTTCCCAGGTGTGGTTCAGAGAGAGATCGAGGCAGAAAGAGTAAGAAAGTAAAGTTACGCAGGGCAGACCCACACGATGGAGATAAAGTCAGGCAGGGGAGCCGCTGAGAGTCAGGGAGAGACGAGCCCAAGAGACAAGGATGTTGACACAGAGAGACTGAGGCACTTGGAGGCTGAGAAGCAGTCTGATACCCACGAGAGTTTAAGATTTAAAGACAGGGAAACGTGAGAGACAGAGAGAGACAGAGAGAGGCTCGGAGCCCGGGGCAAGCCAGAGAGTGCTGGGGGGGGGGGGGGGAAATGGAGAGTGAAATAGACGGAGGTGGAGACAGGGAGAGGTGGAGACACACCTCTGAGAGGCAGAGGCCTGAGAGGACTAACAAGGAGGCCCTTCCCTGAGCCCAGCTGTTTGTGATGCCCACCCCCAAGCGGGGACATCTCTGGGAAAAGAGACTCAGTGTTACAAACCTTAAAGGCAGAAGCTCTGGTCCCAGGCCTCGGGGCCCTGAATACTGGCACTTGGCAGAGCTG